GATTTGATATTAATTACCAAAATTTAGTTTAACGATCTAAATCTATAGTTCACGCGACTAAATCTTGATTCTTAAAACTATATATTTCTTTCATACAATCAAATTATCTCATAACTGTAACCGTTGCCGTAACGTTTGGCCTTCAATATTTCGCCGAATTATTTAGTAACAGTTACTAAATTTTGTTATATACTACCAAATCCTTTCAGTGTAGACATCCTCAATTTATTTATTGAACATTCGCATACATACAATTAACTTTAATTTGAATCATCGATTTTTCTCATTGGCGAACGATCGTGACGTAAGCGCCGTTCTGGCCGTGAATACACTATGTGAATGACATGTTCTTTTTCTCTTTTTTTTTTCTAACTACCAGAAGATACCGGAGCGTCTGACGCATCTCGAAGCGACAACGCTCCCGATCGGGACGTCTTCCCTGGAAAACGCTATCCGTGTCGAGTCATCGATAGGACACTTCGTGGTCTCGTAGAGTGAGACACAGCACAGGTGCGATACATTGAGATAGTAAACCGGATTCAACAGGCGATAACGTGAGAAATAAAGTCGAATGAAGTACAGTAGATTAGATATTTATTTGCTTTAGGATACTCCACATAGCATATAGTATAATTGATAACAAAGTATAGACGCGTATAGACATGTGATAAAACACGCAAGGAGAGGAAACAGCAAAAAAGAACGAAAAGGAAAGAAAAGAAAAGAAAAAGGTATATGCGCTCTTGCAGTTAATTGAAATACACGTTACATCGCGAGTGAAGATTTTCTATTTATCGCGATAACTAATCAATGTTCTGCTTTCTGGTAAGAACTAGAACTAACAACATTTATATAATATAATTTAAGCCAATAAAAATTTCAGTAAGAAAACAAGTCTAAAGAAACGGAATGGAAAAAAAATCGTAATTTAAACGTTTTTACCGGCACTTTCATTGTCCAAGAAACCGAAACCGAAACTTTGATTAAATATTTAAGTGGACTGGAACTGGAACTGGATCGATATTTTCATTCTGTCCGGGTGCCTGGCTCGGCCTCACGTTCAAGCGATCTCTCTCGAAATTTGTCGACGACAGTCGGACATTTTTTCGAAACAACCGTGGCCGCCGTTAACATTAATAAACGCCACCAGCATCGAGCTGATTGCAAAGAGACATTACTTAAAATATTTTGAAGTTTAATTTTCTACTGTATACTAAGAAAGAGATAGAGAGAAAGGAATAGTGAAAGTGAGACAAGGGAAAAGAAAAAATCAACGCGTACGCTGGTTCGGCTTGTCATGTTGGCGGCGATTAAAAGTGAACGTGCACGTTTACTACGTGTTTGTCGGCGTGTAGCGAAAGCGTAACGGAACTCGAGTGAGCGAAACGTTCACCCAAATATCGGTCGCATTGTTTCACTCTTAAACACCGCTGTGCGTCGGTCAGCAAACCCGTCGATTAGAGACGAGCGATACAACCCCAACGTATCGATACATTGGATCGATGTATCGTATCGATACGTATCGTGGATAGAAATATCGATATACGTAATGTATCTAATGTCTTGTGTCGATATCATCAATATCAATACATGAATTACATAAAAATATTGGATTAAAAGCAGGATTAGGAAAGTTATCGCTAAAAAATTACGTCGTTACAAAATCACTGAAAAACTAACTATAACGGTAATGGCGTTATAAATAACGCGTTACTTTTTACAAGTAACTCTGATTAAAAGTACCTATTCGGTATACTTTGTATGAATGTAATAATATGAATGGCATGTATTTATAATAATGTTTAAATAATTACGCTACAATTATTTTCTAAATAAAAAAGAAAAAAATTTTAATAAGTTAAATTAAAATTTATTTTAAATAAATTAAAATTTTAAATAAAATTGCATTTGTAAAATAAATTATATTATTTTGTACATTATAAGAAACGTATAATAATAATTTATAATTGCTCTATAAATGCCAATCTCGGGTCGTACCTTATTCGGAAAACAATGAACTGCTAACGAAATGTTCTCGAAATGTCGGAAACAAATCCATAAGAGACACGGCGTTAATTCGGAATGCCAAATCAAATATTTATAAATATTTATAGATGCTAAGATCGCTGAGATCAAGGGATTATAAAAATAATAATTGATTTTAAATGATCACCCGCCAACTTATTTCGTTCTTTATTATCTCACTTGCTTTACAAAATACAGCCTCTCGGAGGGAACTAAAGTCGCAATTAATAACTAATATACTTAATTGCTAAAACTTTCAGATGAGTCATTAGGAGATAGTTAAATTGAAAAAATAATTGCTACAGGCGGCCAACATAAGCATATCGGAATTCTTTATTTAAGGATTGTGTATCGATATATGAAAATTTCGAATAGTAAAACATTGATGCAAAATATAGATATTTTGGCATTAAAACTATCGATATTTCAAATAATATCGGCTATCTCTACTGTCGATTACGTCATTTGACTTGGCAAAAAAGCGGCGACGTGTGTGTTTCTTCGAGCAAAAATCTTCGGGAAAGATATATGCCTAACCGGTTGCTACATTGTACACGTTTTATCCTCCGTTGTTCTTTTCATGATTGACCCGATTCATTGATCCCAATTCGTTGATCGTGATAGCACGCGTGATTGAATTCGAATCACCGAACTATAACCAGCAACTGCGGCAACGATCTTTTACATCCGATGTGAGCAACGGTGATTTTCTGCCGGAGTGATACGCGCGTTTATCTTTGATTCTATTTATTTTTCCTTTTCTTTCCTTCTTTCTCTCTTCCCTTTTTTTTTAGATTCCTTTTTTAGTTATTCTACTCTTTTAATTTCTTTAAAAAATTTGTTTCTTCTTTTATTATGTTACTTATTGCTAGCATTTTTTTTTTTGTAAATCATTAGACTTATGCTTTAATTTCCCTGTCCCGAAAGAGATATCCTTCTCAACCCTCTCATTTCTCTCCTCAGTGAATAAATCCATTTATTTATCTATTTATCTACACACTGGGAGAAAAATACCTGAAAAATAAAAAAGATATTTAGCGAGTAGTTAGAAAGATACTCAGCGAGTAATAATAACATATTTATTTATACTAATATACATATTTTTATACTTTTAAGAAAAAATAATTTTCAAATGAGAAAATAAAAATTTTTTCAAACTGCAGTTTTCCATGAAAGCAATTGTTTATTTTGTTTAAATGAAAGAATTTCACTTGATTTAATTAAATATTATTAGTACCGGCTAAATAAATATTTTTTTATTTTTTAGATATTTTTCTCTCGGTGTGTCTGTCTTTTATTATTCGCCACTTCCTCTATTACAATAGTGTTATTTTTCTTCCAACAAAATATTTGGTGTTTTTTTTTTACACTGACTCATTTTACTTACATCTACTTATACTTCATAATTACGTGCCGAAGCTTTTGTTGCATTTTACATCAATATTATATCTGAGTTTTCCTTTTTGCACTCAAGGGAAATAACATTCCAAAGTAGATAATAAATATGCGTTTCCTTTTTCTCTTTCTCTCCCCCTTTCCTTTTCTGTTTCCCTCTATCTCTTAAAAAATATAAAAAAATATAGCAATAGAACGATAAGACATTGTCAAGGTTACTGGCCGGTAATTCTTATTGTTGCGGTCGCCCGTTGGTTACCTTTTATCAGCCAACCGGCCCACGAGTGACGATAGCCAGCTAAAAATACTTGTTATTTGCATTGTAACGCAATGTATCGCTCGGTGCGGTTAAAAGCTCTTCACCAATTTGCCCGCACACAATAGCAAAAATTGATGTGATCGTTCGTTTCCCCAAAGGCATCTCGTGAGAACTTCCTCCTTTCAACTATCGCTCAAGTTATTAAAATTAAAAATTGCATTGTGAAAAGTGTGCGTAACATATCGAATTTCAATAAAATATCGCTATTGTTAATCAAGAAGATTCGTTGCGGTCATGGCTGTCGATCAGCGTACCATTGAATACAATGGTATTTTTTTTTCTTGCGCGCGAAATCTCGCGTTGCAACAACGGGCGTGGGCGTATCGCGCAATTGTCTTCATTCACGGCAATCTTATCGGCCGATGGCGGCTAACAAGTTCTCTCTTTCTCATCGGCAAACTAGTTCGTCGCCTAACGTGTATCGAATCTCTCCTGTTTCAGCTCGATCTCATTCCGAACAGGCGAACTACAGTGAAATCGGTACGCCGATTGATCTCAGTTTCCGAAGAAGGAAAAGTTGACTCGGTGACTTCCGGTGTGACGTAGACACATCTACGGTACTCGCTTCCTCTGGATATCCACCGTTCCGCGCAGATCGACAGCATCGCATAGAAGACAGAAGACGAGAAAAACTTGGCGCTACCGACGAAAGAGAGTTCACTGTCAAGGTCGACCACGAAAGAGATCGCGAAGGAAGCGTGCGACTCAGCAGCGTCACCGATTGATCTCCCGATCGGAAGTTCCCGGCCTCAGTCTGAAGAAGAAATCGGCGATCGTCATTGAGGCTGGTTCAACGAGACTGTCGAGAGAACCGAAGGGAGCGACCAACTTTGAAACGATACGATTGAACCGATCATTTTTTATCAACCGGTGACGTCACTGTTCGAAGAAGCGTCGTTGATTGACTTTCCGATCGAGTAACCGAAGGAAACAATTCTGGAAAAAATCGGTCGATCAAATATCACGAACCGTAATAGAGATTGGATCAGCGAAAGTGGCTTGAGAAAGGTCGAAAAGAGCGGCCGACCTTGAAGCGACTGACCTGGTCCTCTCATCTTCGATCATAGCAGCACTGCTCGAAAGCTAAGCGAACTTCCGCAGGTCGGCGATCCGGAAGAGGACGCTCGCTGGGCGCGAATAGACCGACGAGAGACCGACGACGACGACGTCGTCGGAGACGATTAGTAGCGTGCAGTCCAGGGTATATGCGCGGCGTATTAATAGCCAAGTACAGAGAGCGGTGGTGGGGCGGCGGTCGCTCGCGGGTGAAAATAGAAAAGAATGTTTTTGGAATCCAATTGGACTTGGTTGGCAGAACGATGGGGCAATATGGCCGACTTGGCCGAGCGGGTGGACGATCTGATATGCAGTTTCGACTCGGCTGGTGAGACGACCATGGATACGCTGTCGATGCTGATCTTCGGCTGGATGCTCTTCGGTCTGCTGGTGCTGTGCGTCGGCAAGTACGTGTACAATCGCTTCGTGCTGAACGAGCTCGCCATCGGCTCGTCGTCGGCGCAGTACGGCAAAGACGGCCATGCTTATCACGGCGAGAGTGTTGTGATCGCGAGTGCCGCCGGTACCACCGTCGGAGCCGCTGGAAAGCCGCTCTTTGACAAATCCAAGCCGGTGTCGGTGTCGTCGTCGACCTCCCTGCCGTCCCTTGCGAGACCAGGTGGTGCAGGTGGTGGCGGCGGTGCCGTCGCCGCCGCTACCGGTGGTGGTGGTGCTGCTGCCGCCGCTGCTGGTAGCAGCAGCAGCGGCAGTGGCGGTGTTATCGGTGCTGCCGTAGGCGGTGTTGTTAGTGCGGTCGCTGGTAGTGGTGGTGGTGCTGGTAGTGGTGGTGCCGTGTTCGCGAGATCACCGTCGCCCTCGACGGCCGGCTACGTGCCGCCGACGCCGCCGGTGAGGAAACGTCTGACCAGGAAGACCTCCGGCGTCCTCATCAGCCCGTCCAGGAGCTCGAGAGCTCTGCACCTGCCGACCGCGACCGGCGCCGACGCCGAGGCCGTGCGCTGGGTCAACGAGCTAATCGTCTGGCTGCATTACGACCTCGTGATCCTTAACGAACTCTTGGCCAGTTGGGTGGCCTCCCTCAACGACTTCACCAATGCCGGCTCCAACAATGAGGTAAGGATACTCCGTTGTTCTCACATGGAGAGTATTGCGGAGAGATTCTGCGTTACTTTACTCTTGATTCTTCGAGCGCCCAGCGGTGCAACGGGAAGCAGCTCCTTGTTCCTGTGACCCGGCCGTACTTGTCGAACGCTTTGTTTGTGACTGGTGATATTAGGTGTAGAATGCACAAAAGAAATATTATATATATATAGGAAATTAGAAAACTAGAAAGTATAGTAAAATTGATTAATATTTGTATGAAAAAATGCTATCTATATATACAGGGTGTCCCAAACTAATCTCAGTTTCCGTGGTGTACAAATAGAACGGATGAAACTGAGCAGAGAAGTCCTATACCAGTTTGCAAATAACACACAAAATTTCGAGTTATCAATGATTGAAAATGGTCATTTACAGAGGCTGTTTTAATTAATAACTCAATAATTTGCGTATTATTTGCAAAGTGGTACAGAACTGTTTTGTTCATAGTGGCCTAATCTATAAATATATGACAATTGTTGCACCTAACAACAGACATCAGTATATTGAACTTTGACCTTTGAACCTTGAATTTGTTGTTAGGTACAACAATTGTCATATATTTGTAGATTAGGCCACTCTGAACAAAAAAGTTCTGTATCACTTTGCAAATAATACGCAAATTTTTGAGTTATTAATTAAAGAAGCTTCTACGACCATTTTCAATAATTGATAACTCGAAATTTTTCATGTTATTTGCACAATAGTATAGGACTTTTCTGCTCAGTTTCACCCGTTCTATTTGCACATCATGGGAACCAAGATTAGTTTGGGACACCCTGTATATATATATAGATTGTCAGGAGAGTTTATCTTGTTAAGGAACATAGTAAATATTTTAATAATAGTTTTTAGTTTGCAAAATATAAATAGCATATATGAAACGGAAGAATAATACATTAAGGGAGAATGTTGATGTCATACTTCTCGATTATAAAATTTTATATATAATCATTACTGTAAAATTCTTTCCACAAAAATGACTAAATAAATGTTATGAACTTAAAGTAATAAAGTTTACAACTGATAAGTAATAAAGTTATAAAGTAATAAAGTTTACAACTGATAAGTAATAAAGTTATAAAGTAATAAAGTTTACAACTGAACTGTTGTCAACAAGTCGAGAGAGTGAATGCACAATTGAGAGCCCTTGAGAACACCAATTGTTCACAGAGAAAGGTGGGCAAATGTATATATTTACAGTACTCAAAAGCTTAACCTTTTGTATTCCGAAGACGTCACAGCAATGCTATTAATAATGTCTTATAAAACTCGAAAAACGCCGCAGTCTCCGGATTTCAAGTTGATTTTTGAAACTAATTGTAATCGCTATAAATTTACTTTTAAAATCCAAAAGGCGTCATCGCAATGTTTTTCGAACTTTATGAGAAATTTCGAATGGCTCTTTTGGAGGATAAAATGTTAAGAAAAGGTCGCATTGTCGCATTGGCCGGTCGGAAAAGCGGCGAAGACGCGGTGAATATTTTCCAGTATTTGTGTGTAAGAAATGTCGTGAACTTTGTGCGACTCGTCGCGCTCGATAAGGCGATATATGAGCTCTTTTCGAGACGTGGGTGACTCCGTCGACGAAACGGCGAAGAGGGAAGGGAATGTGCGTTCGTGCAAGCGCGTATGTGTGTGTGGTGCAAGTAGGTCGAGTGGATCGCGTGAAACACAGTAGCTCTCCTTAGATGTATTTGTCTAAGAGGAATCGCAACAAAGGGACTGTTTTCAATGTTACAAATCTTCTTTGGAAATTTTGCAACATTCCCCGGTGAGGAACGATCGGGCTCTGCTTCGTGGAGATACCGAGCATGCCGCTGTTGCCACTTCCGTAGACAGCGCAACTTTTGTCGCAGACGTTCGCGAATCCCGGGCACTCTTCCAAATTTTGCTGTTTAAGGATTTTAAGGCCCGATCTACAATAGATGCAACGAGCCTTCTAGATACGTGAGTCAGCTCAAAGCTGTTAAACGGCAACGTAATTTTTGGCAAGATGTTAGAAGATTTTTCAACAATTTCTCTCTTTGCCAAAAGTCATGATAACGTATAAGGCAATGCTGTACGACGACCCCGAACTTCGATCAGCGCGCCATCCAAAAAGAATTTAAATAATCGGTAATGCAGGTAACGGTAAAATAAAATTTAATAAATTAAAGTAAAATAAAATTTTTGATACAGTGATATTGTTGTACCGATGCCGTATCCCGCATAGAAATTTTACCAGACTTTCCCATTTACAGTGCAGATTCCGATTAAAATTGGTCCAAAGTTGTCCCAAAATAGGTTATCCGATCGCCAGTTGGGAACTCCATCTTTATCCCGAACATTGGTTCTCCGTTTCTTGCACGGAAAATATCTCGAGATCTAATTGGGTTCCGATTTCCCAAAATAATATTAGGTTCCAGTTGGATTAGGTTAGACGTACGACACACGAAATATCAATGCGATATTCTGCGTAGTGATATTCTGATAAGTAAATATAACTATAAATGTAAATATAAAAAATATAAATATAAATATAAATATAAGTAAAAATAATGTTACTATTAAACACATGTACATTTCATTTGAAATGTCGTTTATTCTATAATTTAACTTTAATATTGTTGCGATAGCGCTCTCTCTCTCTTTCTCGCTCTCTTTCACTTACTCTCTGCTAAAAGATTGTGCTAAATTCCCCAGCATACAGGAAATCATGTAAAAAAGAAATAATATATGAAGTTTTGTCACTATTTTTTTGCATAATAATTTTCACTTTCCTGATGTAAAAATCTATTAACATTATGCACATGTGATGAAAAAATTCCGATAAATCTAAATAAACGTTAAAGATTAGATTAGATTAGAATATTATTATGCTGGCTTATATATATCTGGTCAATATCACTAAGTATACTATTTTTGTTTTTATGAGGAAAGTTTAAACAAAAATTGGTAAAAATCTTTGGGAAAATGTCGGGGTGACCAAATAGAATTTGTTTGTGCTTTCCACTTAGAATCGCACGTTTAAAACATTACGCTTCTAACCAGAATCCAAAATTACTGTGGGAAATCGAATTAAACCCCAATTAGATCTCAAAACATTTTCTATGCGGGATTATCACAGACACAGGCTCTGTTTACGTGTTTATAGTTAGCAAATCTGTCATTCCAAGATGATTTAGTCTCAGTCAACCATCAGATGACCTATGATAATACAGACAAATATGTACGCAATATTTGTTATTTATAATAAATAAATGATAAATATTACATTCGGCAACTATAATACCTGCATTTTGCAAAGCATTTATAGTATATTTAGCATTTATAAATATCAGAAATTACACGTATATTACCATGCAATTCTTTGTTATATTGTTGTATTGTTGTAAAATTGATTAACTACGATACTTGCATCAAAGTAAATGCCGCATGTAGACTTTGCCTCTTTTCATCGTAATGGATTAATTTTAAACTGTGTAAATCAATGTTTCCGTTGTGATCTTACAAGTACGTCATACATCATAGCGAAGTCTTCTGTGACGTAATGCGGAGTGTCCGGTATGTTTCGTACATCCGCTCGCGTGCAGATAGAAAAGGTTAAACTGATAGAAAAGGTAGACACCATTATTGCAAAATTCACAATAGTTAACGAGGAATGAATTATTCTGTCTGAGCTAATAAGCGCACGAGAAACGGTAGGCCGAACGTATAGAAGGTAAGATGTTTTCAATATATGTATATATATTGGTATTTTGGCCTACCGTGTTTCGATACGTTCATGCGTGTTGTTATATGTGCTGTTGTTGTGAGGACCCCACCCGTCCGCCAGTTCGACGAATTTAAAGTTGATTCATATCGATTTTGGGGAGCAACGATCGCAAGCACAGAAATATCATTGCTGAACTTTATTTCAAAGATCACAATTATACAAGGCTTTCCGCGCTTGACGAGATATCGGGCGGAATGTGATTTCGAGAGCGAACTGCTCAGGTCAAGGACGATTAAACGGGAACTGGCTAACTTCGAATGTGATGTGTCGGCATTCGTGGCACAGAAAGGAATAGTGTTTGCCAGTATCTAGATAAAATTATCTAAATAATCATCCAGATGAATAAAGAGATCATCTTTATTTTTATCCAGATGGAAAAAATATTAAATATACTCATCTTCATTTTAGATAAAAAGAACATGTTATCTCATCTAAAAATTATCTGAATTGATGTTAAGGTCCATATTCTGAACTCACTTTTCGATAAAATGAATGAAATAATATGGTCCTGTGCGTTAAGCCCGTATCAGACTAGATTGGAGATTGGATTTTAACGAATTAACAATTTCAGTTTTGTCTCCTTTGGTCTGTTCTTTTTAACCGCACTGCTGAACTGGTGCAACTAAAAAGAACAGACCATTTGTTTCAATTGGTCAATCCACTTTACGCCCGTATCAAGCTGTCGACTGTGAGTGAGGAGTTAATGATTATTGGTCTTTTTTGTTAGATCCTTAAATTTAGGGCGATTACGTTTACGAATTACTTAATCATTGTGTAGTTTTATGATCTGCGTAATTTTTACTATAAATTTTTATAAAATCTCGCATGAAAACAATATCGTCTGAAAAATTATCCAGATAAGTAGCGCTACTTATCTTTCACCTATATAAATCCAAATCATCTTCGTTTCATCTAAGATGATTTTTTGTATTTTCATCTTACCTTTATCTAGATGAATCCGAAATCATCTAAGGCAAACATCGGGAAGAAAACTACTGTTTTTATTTTAAGTCCGACCAGTCATAAAATAGGATTAGGGTGCGTCAGGATGTCGCGTCAGTTTATGGAATAAACTTCAGAGTCGTGAATTCCTCAAAATATCTTTCGGCTCGAAGGGAATCGTTTCAGGAAGATTATGAGTTATGATAGGCAATAGGATCTCTATAACCGAAGGAAATACGAAGAGGCTCGAAGTCGTAGCAACACGGCACGTAACACCTTCACCTTTCCTAAAAAGGGGATTCGCCTCAGGTGGATCCACACTTATCGCCACAGTTAATACACAGTGACGTAATAATATACATATACATAATGATACAATCGCTTACATAACATCCCAATGATCAGAATTCCACCACCAAAACCATAACCATCTGTGTCCGCATTCAGCTCGCGTTTCGGCGGCAGAGCCTGCTGACAGACAGTGCGAGCAGATTGGCAGCGGAAACCTGCGTAGAACCTGTTGCCAAACTATCCGCAGCAAGATATGCTCGGTTTTTGCCACCAATCTGCCGTCAGATCAGGTTCCGCTCGGTTTCTGTTCGCCAATCTGTTCTCATATTGCCTATCAACAGGCTCTGCCACATTTCTGGCAGCAGTTTGACAACATAATATGATAGAACAGAACCTGTATTAAATTTGTTGCCTTTCTGCTATCAGAAATTTGCTCGTATTAGCACAGGGTTTGGCTATTTGGAATTATAAAAGTCATGCGTCAACTAAATACTAATACAGCGCATGGTCTTACGATATATTTGCAGAGTTTCACATTACAGATGTGTGTGTAATCTAACCGCATAAGAGATATTTATGTGATCAATTCAGTACAATAAATGAAATTTATAGCTTTTTTAGATAGCATTTCTGTACGATAATGCTTTCCTATTTTCTCTGCTTCTTTACAAAGCTTATACAGCAGTTTGTCTATTCAACGAAACCACGTTTTCATTAAAAATAATGAGTACAGTATAGGAATAAAAACTGAGTGAAATGTAACGCAATTCACAGCTTCAGGTAGTACTCGATTTGGCCAAGTGGATATTCGCGCGCAATACGCGGCTCGGGAGGCTAGAATTCATCGCCGACTTGCCAAAAGTAAATTACAGGATAAAAATTTGGCCAAGGACGATTCATTTTATGCGCCTGGAATAGAAAATTCTATGTAAGTTAAAAAATCAATTTTATCGTAGTATAAACCTGTTGTAAAAGGTTAAAAGCTTTTTTTTTCAAGACCATGTTTTTGAAATCGGTACCGGCAGAAATTCGAAAATAGCTCGACCAGTCTAATAGCGGTTTAGACACAAGTATTAGGTGTTCCGCTTAGTTTTGAGGAATTTTTTGCAAAAAAACACTTTATTTTAGAAAGGCGTTAAATTATATTTTAGTTTATTTTAGAAAGACGTTAAATTATATTTTATCCGACATATTTTCCACCGCTAGCTACAATTTTTTCCCACTTTTCTGCCAATAAGTGGATTCCACAGTAAAAGAAATGTTCGTCTTTCGAAACGATCCATTCATCGAGCCATTTTTGTATTTCATCATATGTTTTGAAATGCTGGTCAGCAAGGCCGTACTGCGTCGAAATAAGTAATAACCTGAAGAACAGTCTGGTGAATACGCGGTATGTGGTAATACTTCCCATTGAAATGCCGATAACGTATCTTTAACTGCTTTTGCAACGTGTGGTCGAGCATTGTCGTGCAACAAAATCACTTTGTGTTCTCTTTGAACTGTTATTAGACGTTTTAACTGATGGAACAGACTCAGAATAAGTTTCTGAGATGAATCGGTGAGCTTCGACGGCCGTTTTCTTCAAATCAAAGCAGTAAAGTAATAGATGACGAAAGCGCTCCTTATCATGTTCCATTTTTAATTGCACTAAACAGTACGGTTATGTTTACGAATACACGGGACACGCGTTAAATGATTTGTAAAAATGCGTTAAATGATTTGTAGAAATGTCCAAGCTTTGAAATGATGTACCAACTATCAAAATGTCTCTAATAGATCTCTAAATCATTGATAACTCGGAATTTTGCGTGTTATTTTGCAAAATGGTATAGGACTTTTCGACTCAGTTTCATCCGTTCTACTTGCATATGGGAACTGAGATTAGTTTGGGACACCCTGTCTAATGTATCTTGATGTGTTTATGTGCTAAAACTTCATAATGACACATTTACTGATAGACGTTAAAAACGATAATTAATATGTAACGAATATTAATATGATATATATTGGCAAATTAATAACGCGATGATTGTTTTTTGAATTTTTAAACGTTGTTATATATTTCGGAGCAAACGATAAATTGGTTTGAAGGAAATTCTTGTTATGAAATAATTAATATTATGCAGATGTTTCTTCCAGAAATGTACTTATAACGTTCGATTAATAAATAATAAATGCAAGATCACGGACGGATTCCCAATACATCTTGAATGTACGGGAAACAATATGTTATGTGATATATAAAAATATTTTGGAATCAAAAATATCATACTATTAAGGCTTCTGGGTAGTCGCTGCAACTGTCTCTGTTTAATGACGTTAGAAGTGAGAAAACGCATGTCAAGAATTCTTGCGTTTTCTCGCTTCTGACGTCATTAAACAAAGACAGTTGCAGCGTCCTAGAAGCTACCTAGGAGCCTTAATCATTGCCAACAGATACTAATCACTGATACATTGATACCGCATGGACCATTCATATATGGATACTAAAATCTACATGGAAGTATCGACACAGAGTCCACAAGGATATTGTATCAATAAACCAACGTGGATTTGTCCACATAGAATATACGTAGATATCACGTCGATGTATTTGCATCCACGTAAGGAACATGAGGAATCCATCTCAATTTCGCGTGGATTTTCTTAACAGGCGGCTAAGTAAATCGATATTTATTACGTTACATGGATAATTAACTTCTCGTTCTTTCGAGCCGGAAAGATTCGAAAAGTCACTCGTGACCGGCTGATACTCGTCTCGGCCATTGTAAATTACAGCAAAATAATACAAACAGTGTGTTTCGTTACAACCGCGTGATTTTTCTCTTCTGAGATACTGAGACGCCAAATCACGATTTGCATGGGCCAAGGTGAAGTGTTACATCACGTGAGACGGCCGCTGCGTATAAAAAGGAGTCACGGATCGTCGCTGTTCTTGCCATATGTAACCAATGACGTCATTGCACCGGAATAACTTAAATGTCGTCAGAGATCAAGTTCGCGCCGTCTTAATTAGTTCGCGTATCGAAGGACATGTTTGGGATCGATCTTACACACATACACAAGTTCCATCGGATTACTGTCGCTACTCGCATTAGAACTCGTTCTCGTTATTTGCGTTATTGCGGTTTTTATGGAAATAACAGCAAGAAATAGTTCTACCTATATCGCTACCTTGAAATAAACGGACCATCGTGTTTTTTGTTCTGTGATTATGCGTGATCATTTTTTGTTCAATAAGCAGTGTCCTGATGAATATTGGAGAGAGCAAGAGTTCATTAAGGTGATTTTTTCGAAGACCTCAATAAAATCTCTTAAAAATATAAAAAAATTAACATTCTGTAAGACGTCCTTTAAAAGAGCTACTTATGATGTCTATTCACACAAGAAACAAAATACTTTCTTTATTCTGTAATCCTGTGTTGTCAAACGTATGAAAAATCACGTAGCACGAGAACGGCTCTCCGTCCGCAATGTATTTCGCCGATAATCGCAATTGGGATCTTTGTGTGTTTCAGCACGGCGTCAGTGTCGAATTCGTCCGTGTCCTGCCGGAGACGCATCCTCCTACTTTGTCGAATATCTTTTGCGAGTGCGACTCGAAGGATGATGTGGTACGTAGCTGCCCAGTTTCTAAGATTCCCCGGCCTCGTCTTCGGGGTCCTCCTTTCAGAATAGGTCCTACTTTTATTTTCTCAAATTCACTAACATATTACACAGTGTTCTCTTTCCCTATCTCTCGTAATATAGATAAAATAGTTAAGATATTTCTTCCGAAATTTATTTTTTAAGATTCACTTCAATGCTTATATATATATATATATATATATA